ATATATATATATATATATATATATATATATATATGTATAAAATTCCATTATTATGTTGTAGGAAAATACTTTTAAGATCTAGCCTCAAAAAACAAAACAAACAAAAAACAACTCAATAGTATTAATTTTATAAAGGAAACTGAAACTGAATTCTCTAGGAAAATGAACATCTAAAGTAGAATTATTTAGATATAATCTAATAAATATATGACAGTGTGTAACTTTCAGTACATTCTAGTATTATTGAATGTCTCATTAAATGTTTCACCTCAGTATGTCTGGGAGCTTTCAAGCAAAGTAGCACGCCAATTCCAAGATTACCTAGACTGTAGATAATTAGTTCAATCTTCCATTTCGATCAGAATGATTCAGAAACCATTGTGATATGTGTATCTCTGCCATAGATTTGTTTCTTGTATTTTAGGAGTTACATATTTTCACTCACATAGACCAAAAAGTGGAGGTAATGTAAATAAGATTTGTTTCCTCCCTTGGCTGAACTAAGGAATTAAGCTTCAAATCACATTTTTTTTTTTTTTGCCTAGGTCTTTAGGAAAAGGATACCAGGAATAAGTGTAATAAGTTTAGCATTAAGAAGTATTACAAAGGACTGTTGTTGTTGTTATGTGCCGACAAGTCGGACCCGAGTCATAGCGACCCCTCCTTGGGTTTCCGAGGCAGTATCACTACGGAAGTAGATTGCCCCATCTTCCTTCTGAGGAGTGGTTGGTGGGTTTGAACCACAAGCCTTCTGGTTAGCAGTCAAGTGCCTTAGGCACTATGCTACCAGAGCTCCCCTAAAAAGGACTTGTTGTTGTTATTTGCCCGTCGAGTCGACTCCGACTCATAGCGACCCCTCCTTGGGTTTCTGAGGCAGTATCACTAAGGAAGCAGGATTGCCCAACCTTCCTTCCGAGGACTAGTAGTGCTAAATTGTGAAAAGAGAAAGTAATCTGAATACAAGAAAGTATTGAAGAGAAGACGATACAAAAAATTGGAGTCTAATTCTGGTTGACTCCTTTTCTATTTTTTTCTGGCAGACTATATAACTGAGGATACAAGTTGATATGAAAAGAACTGTAGGGGTTCTACCAGAATATATTTTCAAGAATTTGCTAATTTAGTTCTCCATAACAGCTATCTTCCTACAATTCTTAGCAAAAGCTAATTTTACCATGCATATTTTAGTTCTAGCAGGTTTTCATGGAATGTTAAATTATGTTTTGAGCCATATTTCCTAACAAAATAATATTTTAAATGGAATAAGAAGTTATATAAAGTCTTAAATTTGCAACACCAATTTTAATTTGTAAATTTAGGAATTGTATTTGAGTAGGTTATTTAAACTTTATTTTTGGCTTCAAATAAGAAATTGTGCACACTTTCTGGATGGTTTATTGTAAATTGGTATTAATCATATAAAAAATCTTGTATTTTCAAAGGAAGAGGAAGAAAATGAAACCTTTGAACTTAGCAGGGAATACGAAGAACTAATAAAATTAAGAAGAAGTGGATCTATTCAAGCAAAAAATCTAAAAAGCAAGTTTGAAAGAATTGGACAGTTATCTGAAAAAGAAATACAGAAGAAGATAGAAGAAGAGCGAGCAAGAAGAAGAGCAATTGACCTTGAGATTAAAGAGCGAGAAGCAGAAAAGTTTCATGAGGTATATTATTTTGTACTTAGCTATGGTACGCTAATGATAATGAATAACATTGGCTTTGAATAAGTTTTGGTACTTACACTTAATCATGGATGTGTATAATAATCTGAGAAATAGCAAAAGTACATTATGATCTAACAGGACTTTGAAAGACTTCTCCACTCTAGCATTGTATTTTCAAATACCTTTATCAGTGCTAAAACCTATAGACTGACTGTCATTGAGTCGATTCTGACTCAGTGACACTACAGGACATAGGATAACTCTCTCATAAGGTTTCCAATGCTGTAATCTTTATGGAAGCAGACTGCCTCATCTGTGTCCTGTGGAGCAGCTAGTGGATTTGAACTGCTGACCTTTTAGTTAGCAGGCAAATGCTTTAACCACTGCACCATCAGAACTCCTTTTAAAACCTATACCAAAAACAAAAACAAAAAAACCAAACTCACTGCCATTGAGTCAATTCCGACTCATAGCGACACCTTCTGGGTTTCTGAGGCAGTGAATCTTTATCGAAGTAGATTGTCCGGTCTTCCTCCGCAGAGCGGCTGGTGGATTTGAGCTGCCAACCTTCTGGTTAGCAGTCAAATGCCTTAGGGACTACACCACCAGAGCTCCTTGTTAAAACCTATAGTGAACATCAAATGGTTCACTTTAACAAAAGTCGTTCAGTTTATCAGCACATTTTAGTTTGAATCAGTATGTTAAACTCCACAGAACATTCTTGTTTTGAAGATAACCAAAAAAACCAACCTCACTGCCGGCGAGTTGGATCCAACTCATAGTGACCCCTCTTTGAGTTACCAAGATATCACTACAGAAGCAGGGTGCCCAACCTTCTGAGGAGTGGCTGGTGCACCAGCCTTCTGGTTAGGAGTCTAATGCATTAGAGCTCCCAAGCTGGTTTTAAAGATAAGACCTGTAAATTCTATATGACATGCCAAGTCACACTAATCATTCAGCGGCATAGCTTAAAGTAGAATTCAGATGACAAGATTTTGAAGTATCTTCATATGTAAAATGAGAAGGCAGTCACTAGACGATCTGCAAGTTCCCTTCTTGCCTAAGGACTATTTATATGATTGTTGTTGTTGTTGTTATGTGCCATCGAGTCAAACCCGACTCATAGTGACCCCTCCTTGGGTTTCCGAGGCAGTATCACTATGGAAGTAGGATTGCCCAACCTTCCTTCTGAGGAGTGGCTGGTGGGTTTGAACCGCCAGCCGTCTGGTTAGAAGGCAAGTGTCTTAGCCACTATGCTACCAGAGCTCATTTATATGATTATATTAGCTTAAATGTGATCTCAATTTTTTTTTTTCTGCCAGAAATTGCCATTGTATACTATGCAATGGCATTTAATCTGTTTTTTCTAAAAGTTCACTTTCATTAAACATTCAACCAGCAAACAGGTGTAGGAAGATGGGAGGGCCTTCAGAGGAGATTGCAAATAAATGGATAGAATGAAGAAACTGCAAATTCTTGGGAGTATAAGCAATTCAGTATTGAGGTAAGCATAGAGTGCAAGGCTCAGAACAGGAAAATGTACTGGTGCACAACTGAACTGACCATGGAAGGTCTTAGCTACCATGTTAAGTAACTTTGTTTTGTAGGTGTGCAGTGAAGTTTTTTTTTTTTAATAACCTGTAATGATGTTTTCAAATAGGCATTTTTATAGCTAGATCATGCTAATGCTAATACATGTATAAAAAATTATTTGAATGCCTATCATGTTCCACAGACTGGACGCTGGCACCACTCTGGTGACTAAGCCTGTGGTCACTGCTCATTTAGCACTTACAATCTAATTAGGGGGACAGGAGTAGGGGAATGGAAACCAATTATTGGGTGGTTATAAATAAAAGTTACAGAGATTAATAAAGCAAAGCAAGGGTAATAGAGTCATGGATTGAATTGTGTCCCCCCAAAATGCGTCCATTTGGCAAGGCCATGACTCCCAGTATTGTGTGGATGTCCTGATAATTATCTTCCATATTGTGTTATTCCATTTTGTGTTGTAAATCCTAACCTCTATATGTTAATGAACAAACAAATCTGTCTTAGAAGTACAGCCAGAATGCTCCTTAGAAGGATGTGGAGACTTCTTTGCCTTATGTACTTCGGATATGTTGTCAGGAGACACCAGTCCCTGGAGAAGGACATCATGTTTGGTAAAGCAGTGGTCAGCAAAAAAGAGGAATGTCATAAATCAGATGGGTTGACACAGTGGCTGTTAACACTAGGTTCAATATAGCAATGACAGTGCAGGACCAGGCAGTGTTTTGTTATGTTTTACGTGGGGCTGCAATGAGGCAGAACAAACTGGACATCAAAGAACATATGTAAATGGGCAGGATCAGTGTAGTATCGTACAGCCTTACAAGAGAGTGTAACTCAAATTACACCCTTACTCTAGTCACTACCTTACTCAAGTCACAACACACTGGTGCCCTGAATTTGGATGTCTAGCTTCCTAAACTGTGAGAAAATAAAACCACCTACTTGTGATATTTCTTTTATAGCAGCACCAGATAATTAAGACACAATTTGGTACTGGAAGACTGGAGTGCTGCTCTACTAGATAAATGTAGAAGCAATTCTGGAATTGGGTAATGGATGGAGGCTGGAAGAATTTTAAGGGAGCTCTGGTAGCATAGTACCTAAAGCACTTGACTGCTAACCAGAAGGCTGGCGGTTCAAACCCACCAGCCACTCCTTGGAAGGAAGGTTGGGCAATCTACTTCCGTAGTGATTACCACTTCAGAAACCCAAGGAGGGGTCACTATGAATTGGGGCCGACTGGATGGCAAACAACAATAGTAGAATCCTAGATTCCTTTGAAGAGACTATTGGTAGACTTACAGACTTGAAAGGGAATTCTGGTGAGGTCTCAGAAGGAAGTCAGCAGAGCTATAAAGTCTCTTATACTGGAGAATGTATATGGTGCCAGCAATAGAATGTTGTTAGAAATGTAGACATTAAATGTGCTTCTGGTGAGACTTTAAAATAAAATGGTGCCTTTCATGGAGTGGCAAAGAACTTGTCTTAATTATGTTCAAATTCAGAATGTTTGGTAGAAGGTAGAACTTGTAGGTGATGAACTTGAATATGTGGCTGAGATTTCTAAGATCTTAAAGGGGCTGTAAGGTATCTCTTTGCTGCCTATAGGATAATGAGTGGAAAAGGATGGACTTAAAAATGAGCTGTGCACAATGAAAACAAACTTAACGATTTGGAATTCTGTTGTACAAACTAAAGGCACATGCCCTAGAATGTTCACCAAGGATATGTCTATACAATCTTTTGTTAAAGGGATTAAGCCTATGAATGAGGGACCTAACCATCACAGCAGAAAACCATCGGCTTAGAATGAAGGGGACAAACAACAAAAGGAGAAAACATTCTCTCTTGGAATTCAACAGACAGTAAACAGCCCAAACGAGTTCCATCTGTTGTCCTCCAAGAAAAAAATCCTCCTTGGAGCAGCAGAGGTCAGCAGAACTGTTGGGAGCAACAGCTGCCTGGGTCTCAAAGGGTGGAGACATGGTCTCTTGGATTTCAAAGGGTAGGGCCACTGCCTCCTACGCTAACTTGGTTCTGGAGCATGGAGCTGTGGTTGAGGTGTGCCAGGAGAATGAGGCCACTGCCAAAAGCTGAGGGGGCAGGGCTCCCATGACTAAGAAGCAGAACAGGCCCTGCTGGGGCCAGGGGCTACCACTCAGATGCACTAGGAGCTGCCCAAAGCTGAGGGAACATAACTGCTATCCTGATAAGCCTGGAAGGCACAGCTGAAGCCCAGGACCAAGGGGCCTCCACTCAGAATCTAGAGAACATGGCCAACACCCAGAGTCTGGAGGGCTAGGCCACTTACTAGATACTCTCAGAGAACAGAGTATTATTTTTAAGCCTTATGAGCTAATATTAAGTTCTGCTAGGCTTTGGACTTGCTTAGTGCTCTTTCCCACTTGTAATGTAAATGTCTACTTTTTACCCATCCCATCATTGTACTCTGATAACCTGTAGTCTAGACTTCATATTTTCACAGATGAAATTTTGCCCCAGCACATAATATGCCTCAGATCTCACCTGTATTTAATTTAGATGATTCAGAAGATGAGATTTTGGATTTGGAGTCAGCTAGACTTTTGGGGTATGATGGGTGATGTAACAGATGTGAAAGAAGGTTGTGGCTAATTGATGAAGGACCTTTTTATCCTTGCAGGGACTATCAACAGTGTTAACAAAGTTTTAGGGCAAAGTAAAAAGGTGTATGTTTATGAAATAATTCTGGCAGCAGGAGGATGAATTGTAAGACATGATGTTAGGGTAGTATTACCAATATTCTGGGGGTGGGGCAGACCTAGCCTCAAAAGAACTAACAAGTTACTTATGGGCAGGAAGGAGGTGGTTCCTGAGGAGCCTGACATTACTTCCAGATTACCAGGGAAGCTAACTAATGCTACAGAGAATTCAGGAGACAGGAAGAAGTGGGATGAATAAATTGTTTTGGACATGTGAAATATGAACTATATAGGGTAAAAAATAAAAACACAACTCTGACTCATGGTGGCCCCTTGTGTGTCATAGTAAACTGTGCTCCATAGGGTTTTCAATAGGTGATTTTTGAGACATAGTTCACCAAGCCCTTCTGAGATACTTCTGGACAGTCATGAACTTCCAACTTTTGACTGTGTAAGCACAGGAAATCCTGAGAAAGTTAAAACAAGTTGAAAACTCAGGCCTTGAGTTCAGGAAATAGAGACCACAATTTTTATGGCCAGTAGAGGAGTAGATGAAGTCATCTGCAAAGTAATAGTTTGAAAGTGAATGACAAAAAGCAGAGAACATTTAGTGGTCAGATTAGTTGAGATTGAGTCTGTAAAGAGATAAAGGTAGTGACACCTCAGACCACTCATTTTTATCCCTACAAAACTGTTGTTAAGTGCTGTACAGAAGAGGTAGATAAATTGCTTCCTGTTTTATTACTATTAACTGGCTTTCTTTTGTATATATAAATGCAAGTTAGGATGTGGATCACCTTCTTTAAAGGATATTATCACACTTTTTCTCTTGGATTAAAGGTCTTTAAGGTATCTTTTATAAACTTGTTGGCATAAAATACAACAAAATTCCAGAGTAAGAACACCCTATTTGAACCCCAACAATCACCCCCAAAATCAGATTGTTTCTCCTTTCAAAAATGTCAGTGCTCAACATGTCTTTAAAGGTTTACATTCTGTTCATCATTCAAGGCCTAAGTCATTTATGTAAACATTCTTAACCAAAGAATCCCATCTTAGCTCCTGTAGTGCTTAATATGTACCAATCATAAGGTATTTAAATCATGCAAACAGCTTTAGTGTCTGATTTTGTAGTTAAGATTTTCCAGTAAGGTATACTGATTTCGTTTGCTTCTTTTATCTCAAAACCACTGCCCAACTGTGTTTTTTAATATTCACATTTTGGGGCTATCAATGCACTATTGAAAATGTAACTGAGAATGAAGATCATTCCCATTTAACATGACTCTCAGTAGATTCCTTTCCTGGAAACATTTTAAATCTGGTTTTTCAGAAGTTCAAGAAAGGGTAAAGATTACACTTAACAATAAATGATACTGTTCACAAACTTTCTAACCGTTAGCTCATGACGAATTCTTTTACTTACACCCAATTTTATTTTTCTCCAAATGGAAGTTTGAGGTAACTAAATGGTTAACTTGTACAGTTATGAATGTTTAGAAACTATTTTATGCTAAATCCAGAATGCCTGTTATTAAGTGGGAAGGAACTATTTAGTCAGAAGAGTAGTTAATATACATGCTGGAATATCCTATTCTTAAAGATTCATTCAGTAAACAAAGTAAAATTAAATGTACAAGTGTAAACAAAGAGGTGTTCTCTACCCCTCCCGATTTAAGTGTTGGAAAAGACTGAGATAAAATTGCAGTAAGCAAACCATTGTTTAACTTGTATTTTCTCGTAGTCTTTTAAGGTAATAACCAACAACCGTATCAACACCATTCATTAGCAGTAACTATAGTTTGGCACTATGTTCATCAACTGAAGGGAAATAATGGCATAAATAAAATTTTCACATCAGGTTTTATCTGATGTTCTAGTATATTTTAAATCAGATAAAAAAATGATGCAGGAGAACCAAAAAACCACCTTTTATCTACTACTCCATTTATTGGAACTGAGGTGAAACTCCAACTGATTTAAAACTTTCATGAACCAAGATTCTTCCTCTACAGGCAATTAGCTCATAAATAGCTTTGTTAAAATTTCCCTTATTTAGCTGTGTCCTGAAGCAATTTTACAATCCCACTGCCAGAGTTGATTCTGACTCATAGTGACCCCCACTGGGTTTCCAAGGCTAAATCTTTACGGCAGTAGGTTGCCTCATCCTCCTCCCTTGGTGCAGCTGGTGAGTTTGAATCACTGGCTTCTAGTTAATAGCCAAATACTTGATCCACTGTACCACCAGAGCATTTTACTCTTACTACTGTTAAGTATGTTGTCGTTGTAGGTGTTGTCAAGTTGGTTCCAACTCATAGAAACCCTATATACAACAGATCAAAACACTGCCCAGTCTTGCACAAGCCTCACAATTCTTGCCACACCTGAGGCCATCATTGTAACCACCATGTCAATCCATCTCATTGAGGACCTTCCCCTTTTTTGCAGACCTGCCACTTTACCAAGCATTGTATCTTTCTCTAGGGACTGGTACCTTCTGACAACATGACCAAAGTAGGCAAGATGAAGTCTGGCCATTCTTGCTTCCAAGGAGCACTCTGGCTGCACTTCTTCCAGGGCAGATTTGTTAGTCCTTTCGGCAGTCCATGGTACTTTCAGTATTCTTTGCCAATACCACAACTCAAAAGCATCTACTCTTTGGTGCTCCTTTTTTACCATCCACCTCTCATATGCATATGATGCAAATGAAAATACCATGGGTTGGCTTACCACCTGTTTTTACACCTGTCTTCAAGGAGACATCTTTGCTCTTTATTCCCTGAAAAAGGTCTCTTGCAGCCGATTTACCCAGTGCTATATATGTTGTCTGGTATCTTTTTAAAATTGTGATTTGGGTTAAGTTTAGAGAGCAAACTCACTTTTCATACAGCAGTTTACATACACTGTCTCATGACATTGACTACAATTTCCCACAATGCAACAGCTCCCTTTCCACTTCTTCCCCATAGTTTCCTCTTCCATGTCCTTCTTTCCATGCACTCCTGCCCACTGTGCATAAACAGCCCTTCTGTTGTGCCATGATTGCTCTCTCCAAGGAGTCTATATCTATCTAGTGCAAATGTTGTCTTTTATTTGGCTGGAAGCCACAGGAGTGGGTTCAATTCCAGACCTGAAGGGCAGCTAGGACCCATACTCTCAGTGGTTCTATTAGACCAGCAAACCTGCCTCCCCTAACTTTTAAATGATTTTGAGTTTTGTTCCACATTGTTCTGCCACTCTATCCAGGATCTCCTACACACATTCCCCTCTGAGTGGTTGACAGTGGTAGCCAGGAACCATCTAGTTCATATGGTCTCATAATCAGTTGTATAGGCTGAGGTTGGCATGGTGTACTAGTCGCTTGGACTAATTGTTTCCATGAATCTTTGGTTTTCTTCATTCTTCTTTGCTCTGGATGAGGAAAGTGTCATCTGATATCTTAACTGCTGCTTGTATTGGTGTTGACTGTGGAACCAAGTAACATGAAATCTTTAAAAACTTAATCTTTTCACCATTTATTGTGTCACAGCTTATTGATCCAGTTGTGAGGATTTTAGTTTTATGGTGAAATGTAATCCATACTGCAGACTGTTGCATTTTAATGGTGGGATTTCCATAGATCCACAAAAGCCTTAGTTTACAAGCTATCAACTACATTAGAAACTAAATTAACTACACCCACCCTAATGTTTTGTTTCCTACTATTTGCTAACTCTAAGAAAACTGCACATGAAGGCTGTCAATGACCCCAACACTACATTGACTTTTTTGTAGACTCACACTAATACCAGAAACTAGGCATAGGCACTTAAATGACTCCTTTGGTTTCCATGGCTTTCAACTCTCACTTTTCAAAACAGATGACTCAAACATTTCACCTCAATGACTCACCCATGCTCCAACCACTGCCTCTCTTAACAGTTGCCCTTACCTGTTTTCCTACCTGCAAAAACTCTTTTCCACCATTCTGACCATCAAAATTTTTGTTGGATGAAATTGATCTTAAGGACGGTTTCTATTAACTAAGACAGGTGAAGAAGAGAAAATCATTATATGAAAAAACTATAGAACAACTTGCCTACATTCAAACCCTATTATGTAGATGGGTGAATAGTAGTATGGATATTCTCCAAGGGAGTATTTTAACAACATATACAATATATAGTCGATCTAATCTTTTTCTTCTACTCAACTATCAGCAATAAGCACTGAGAAAGGGCTGAGCAAATAAAGACAAAGGCTAGGACTCTATTAATATTGTGTAATATTTACACTGGAAGAAGGGAATTCTTTGTTAAGAAAATGTTTTGTGATTTATAACACCACATTTGGGAGCTCTGGTAGCACAGTGCCTAAGGCACTTGACTGCTAATCAGAAGGCTGGCAGTTGAAACCCACCAGCCACTCCTTGGAAGGAAGACTGGGCAATCTACTTTCGTAGTGATACTGCCTCGGAAACCCAAGGAGAGGGGTCGCTATGAGTCAGGTCTGACTTGATGGCACATAACACCACCATATTTGGATTAAAACTTTAGTTCTAGTTGGTTCCTAGAATGTAAGCTATTATTCTTGGCCTACTCTCTTGAAGGAAGAAGATGTAGATATAAAGCCAGCAAAAAAAAGTGAGGCTCCATTTACTCATAAAGTGAATATGAAAGCTAGATTTGAACAAATGGCTAAGGCAAGAGAAGAAGAAGAACAAAGAAGAATTGAAGAACAAAAATTACTTCGCATGCAGTTTGAACAGAAGGAAATTGATGCAGCACTACAAAAGGTACCAGGGCTTATTTATCCTTCATCTTCCAGATGTTCTCTTAATAAAACAAGTTTTATGAGGCATAAAAATATTTTGATGCCATTCAAGTTACCGAAATGTTTGTAATGTACAATTTGTAGTAAGCATACTAACATTTTCTTTAATTAAATTAAAACATTTACCTTCAGAATTCTATCATTAACCACTGTCTAAATATTGATGTAATGTGATTTGGGAGACTGTGCTGAAAAAAAAAGCTATTATATCATAAATGCCAAGCTGAATATATTTATTTTAATATAGAAAAGAGAAGAGGAGGAAGAAGATGAGGGCAGCATCATGAATGGTTCCACTACTGAAGATGAAGAACAAACCAGATCAGGAGCTCCATGGTTCAAGAAGCCTCTAAAAAACACATCAGTTGTAGACAGTGAGCCAGTCAGATTTACTGTTAAAGTAATGGGAGAGCCCAAACCTGAAATCACATGGTGGTTTGAAGGAGAATTACTGCAGGATGGAGAAGACTATCAATATATTGAAAGAGGAGAAACTTACTGCCTTTATTTACCAGAAACTTTCCCAGAAGATGAAGGAGAGTATATGTGTAAAGCAGTCAACAATAAAGGCTCTGCAGCTAGTACATGTATTCTAACCATTGAAAGTAAGAATTAATGATTCTTTTAATCTAACTTTTCTATTTAAAAAGAAATTACCTTTAAAAAAAAAATCACCTTTCTTCCTTCTTCTCTTTTTTAGCTGACGACTACTAATTCACTCCCTCCCCTCCCCCTGGAACTTTCTCGCTCTCCAACTTTCTTACTTCATCCATCTTTTCTGTGGCGGGGCCAAAAAAGGAAACGAGAAGTGCCACTGTGCTGATTTCTTATTCCTTTTCATAACAGTCTTCAAAACACAAGCTCCTCTAAGGAATACCTACTTCCTTTCTAAACAAACATCAGATTCATTGCCATATCATGCAATAGCAGTCAATAAACATGTTATTTAACTGGAGGAACTGAGAAATTTATTCATTTATTCTATTGGACCCTGTTGAGAAGGATGTTAATTCCCATCAGAGTTTACAGCAATTATGATTTAAAAGAAATAAAATAAGTAGAAAGCATTATTTTGCATGAAATAATGTCATTTATGGGCTATTTACTTAAACTTAGTAGGAAATGGCTGTTTTTTTTCAAGAATTTGGAATCCATCAATTTGGGTGGGTTTTCTAGTTGTAGTTTTGAAGTTTTTCTGAAGCAGATTTTTTTGAGGGGAAGGGAGTTAATCCTTTTAAAGGAGGAGCATGGGAAAAAACAAAACAAAACAAAAACTAAAGTATCAGTTTCAAGAAATAACTGCCAGAGAAAATCTGATAGAAACCACCATCTTATTTTCAGTTCTGAATGCTGAAAGCAATAAATAACTTTCAAATGTGTGTAATATATCATCCAATTTATAAAGCAAATATATGCCGATCTTCCTTGAACAAATGCATATTTAATAAGAAAACTTTGTATTAATAGTTCATGCAAGAGAAAACACTTTCAACACAATTAAAACTTTTAATAGGAGAGTTTCTTAGGAGGATTTGATTTAGAAAATAAAATAATGGCACAACCTTTAGTTTTAAATTCTGCTCCTTATAAAAAGTATTTGTAAATAATTAGCTGTCATGTTCTATGATCAAAGTTGTTGCGTATTTTAATTTTCTGGAAGAATTTTATTTTACCATGTAAACTGATAATAAAGTAACTTCTGTATTAAAAAGACTTGAATTAAAAATAACATTTTCTCACAGTACACCGTAAATTTTAGAAAAATAGTCAAGTAAAGTAGTATATGTAGAAAAGAGACAAAACACTCCTCTGTTATATTCATCAATGTACATTTATTTTTTTAAATGAAGAAACCATAATCAATACAAAATTACAGCAATATGTGCCCTTTTACACACAATACCATAAAAGCAAGCTCTAAACCACAGTTTGTAAAGTTATTCAATTTACCTCAAGTCCAAGCTGCATCTCCCTAAGACACTTCCCATCACAGTAGCCATTTTAAGCCAATCTTCTTTTTACACACGGGTAGTTTCTGTAGAGAATGCTTTTCTCAGGACGAAAATGCATTGAGCATGCATAAGAAAAAATATATATATATGCGCAAATACATTTAAGAGCTTCTATAGGGATTATCATTGAAGAAAATAAAAACCTGGGATTTATTTGCCTCTTAAAAGCACCAATTTAAAAATCCCTCAAAGGTTTTCATATCATGGCAAGAAAACTCAAGTGACATATTAAACAAAAAATAAGGTTATTTTCAGAATCAAAATTATCTTTAAGTAGGTATTGTTAAAATGCATTTTAAAATGTGGCAGATTTTGCAGAAAATGAAAAATAAAGAACCTCATTGAATTGTAAATTCTACACATTATTCTAGACAATAGATAACTTTCTTGGTTGCACTGGTTTCCTGGGCAGATTATTCAAAACAAATCAAATGTTATCACTTGTGAATATATTTCCATTTCCCTCTAAAGGTATTTTATTACTCTTAAGCCAAATCCACCCTTACAAATTAACTACCAAGATATTTGTTTAAGGATATACTTTTATAAACCACGAGCATCAAATCACTAGTTCTAGTATTAAAACCATTTTCAATAATTAAAAAATAAAAGTATTACTTCTCATTTCTAAAAGAAACATCAAATTATAAAAATCTAGAGTATCACCACACTAAGATCTTAAAAAAAAAAATCCTCAAATTTAAATGCTAAATAAATCAGTTCAATTTCAATCTAAACTAAACATTGTTCTATCCAATGCATTCAATTCAACTGGCTCACCTTTTCAGCTTTCCATTTATTTCAAGGCTAAGATCAGCATCATTTAAAAAATGCTGTAGTATCAGTGAAGGCTTATGGCAATGAATAAAAAAAATTCCTATGAGACAGAAATAATGCCCCAGTATCTATCAGCATTCATTTATATTTTCTTTTATAAAAAAGCAAACTACAACTAACCAAAACTTGACAGGCTCTTAAGGTTCAAAAAGCCCCTTTATATTTTTATATTATCAATTTTAACATACCTATCATTGACTATTAAAACACACACACACACACATACACACACACATGTGGTGCAGTAGGTACATTAAAAAAAATCAACAGTTCATGGAACATTTAAGATCAAGTGACTAGTACTTTAAAATGAAAAGTGATCAAAAGCAGGTACATTACACCCTATATCATATTATGTATGGGAATACATTTCATATTTCTCAATTATGATTTGCCAATTTTACCTTCTACATTGAGCCCATCTATGGTCCATGCTCATCGGCTCACCAATGGCATACACTCAAAGGATTCCTCTTATGGGTAACTATCTCAGGACCTGATTTTATGAGCTATGATTTGGTGCTTGCAGCATCTTCAGCACTGTGTGTGAAAATGAAGGCAGTATTTTTGAATATTTTTCTTTGTTGTAGAGATAAGCAGGAGTTTTAAAAGGATCAGCACATTTTAGAAATCAAAAACAAAACTGATAAGATGCTGCTTTATTACATTCATCTTAACTCAAAAGAGTACCAGTTAAAATTCTCTCTGTAAAAACACACAAACATTTTAAACTGGCAAAAATAAAATTAATGCAGCGTCAGTTATATTAAAGTTATAAATCAGAAAAATTTTGATTGCTATACAGATTATGAAAGCTTATTTGCTATACAGCTAACATTTCACTGATGCACATGCCTTTTATCAAAACAAACTGGCAGTATTGCTTTTCTTCTTTTTCAGTGCATGTAAGCTATGAAAACTGAATTGTCTCTTAACAATCAAACAAACAAACAAACAAACAAAAAAACTCTGACCCACAATGTCCTTACTGAATTATTGTAGTTCAAGAACAAGAATAAAATAAAGAAGCCATAGCTTTGGAGGGCAAAGAAAATGTCCTGTCAATCATATAAACAAATTGTGAAGGCTGTTGAAGTTTCTGACCAGATTTCCTAAATCTTGAATTAACTTCCCTTTCTTAATTTTAACAATTCTTCTACACTTGGGAAAAGATAACAAAAATGGAAGTAGTTCAATTCCAGCAGCAATCTACTTGTCTCTTTTTTAATTAAAAAAATTAAAATAAAAAACATTACCCAGAAAAGAAAACAGTTGCTTGAACAACTTACAGACTTTCCACTAATATGGTAGCATAAATAACAAAATACATTTGGGGAAGCAGTAGCAGATTGCTTTTGAATACACAACCACAAAAATCTCACAGGGACAACATTAATGTACTGAAATATTTATTTATATATGTCCTTAGGTTGTGCTTACCTGTTGCTTTTGCAGCAGAACCTAAGGTGGAAGGTCTGGGAAGGCACTGTGAAGTATAAATAATTGCACTGTTTGCAATTAATAAAGATTTTAAACCTTAAATGAATCAAAATCAACAGCCTCCATTTTGTGAATTATGATACTGAATCCATATGAACTATTTCTTCAGTTTAATTAACGTACCACTTCGTAAAATGGTCATCTATAAAACAGTATCATGCAAAATACTGAAATTGTTCAAGTCAATACCCTACTCTAAAGATAAAAGATAACTATCTCCTTAACTAGAACTACATACTTGGATCTCAATAGGGTAAGGGAAGTCACTCTATGTTCTATAAAAACAATAAAAAAAAAACATTTCTAAGTATCTATAATGAAATGTACTGCTATTTTCCAACCTATAGGTAATCTCAACATTTAAGCCCTTGTACATCTTCCTTTAAAGTATATTCAAAACAACAAATGGTGCTCCCCACCAAATGAACTGACATATATTTATGAAATGGCATTAAAACAGCTATATTGCTTACTTTGTATCTGCAAACTGAAAACCACTTCTATCTGATACATTTCTTTCAGATTAATATTTAAGATATGCACACTTTTACACTGAAAAACAATTACTTTAGGAGCACCAATGAGTAATACTATTTAACTCTGTTAATATCAGTTTTCTTTAGCTATAGCTAAAGCATATAAAAAATACTTACCCATTAAGCTCACTTAAAATAAAATACAGATCTATTTATTATTCTATGTTAAATAAAAGAGCAGTTATGGTTTTCCAAGATATCAGCACTGTATTCCAACATAATATTCACACAACGTATGGCATTTGCATTATGTGGAACATTGACAAAAAGATACTGTTGCAGTTCATCAATTTGTCATTCTGATGTACTTACAGTGCAATGCTCCTTGAAGGAACACAATCAAGGATGATACACAGCACAGTCCTCCTCACCCCTACAGAGCTAGTTCTATACTGGCTGGATCAAACCTGCACTTCAACAGACAATGGCAAGACAGACTGTATTTGCATGTAGTCTAATATATTAATATGCAAGAGCCAACAAATATGCAAAGAGTAAAACAATGGATTTCAACAAAATATCAGAACTTCAGCATGAATGTTAAAGAGTAATAAAATGGTTTCAAGTACATAAAAAAATTAAGTTGATTCAATGATTGGACTTGTGCATTTACAAAACAAAGCTTATCTATACTGCAAAAAGAAAAAAAAAAAGCTTGAAATTTTTATATCCCAATTTTGTTTCAGTGATGCAATGTAGCTGCATTTTTCACATACTATTCACTTTTCTACCCTAAATTTAGAAAGAAACACACTATTATACACATCGAAAGAACTGCTTTACATGAAAAAACCTCTTCTTATTAAACTACTCATACTCTCTCTATCAGAAAACTGTTTAAAATTAGTTATGCTGAAACAGTTTTGTAAATCAAGTAAGTATTAAATTAAGAATAGAAAGGTTAACTGTAATAGCAGCAGTACAGGTCTGAAACAGTGGTCATGTATAAAAGGAAATTTCACTGTTAAAGCAATGGAAGTATGCCAAAGATCATTGTACACACATGCAGCTTTAACCAAACAGAAGGAAAAAAAAAATGAAGATATCAGGATTACTTGTGCTGAAACAGCCAAATACAACAAATGGAAAAGATCCTCCAATCTACTACTATACTGCAAGGGGGAAAAGACATGCCAGTGTTTAAAAAACTCAATTAATATTTCATGGGGAAAGCTTATATATTTGTGTATATGTATCTTAATTTATCATTCTTAAGAAATTATGAATCCTTTAATTACCCACATATCCAACTTACCGACACAGGAGGTTTCATATCATTTATTGTAAAGCACAAAACAGGCATTTTAAAAGTGAAAGTATACATTGAAAAAGTACATTTATATCACAAAGCAATGACCACATAATAGTTGCAAATACATTTGCTGGAATGTGTACATCTACACTAAATACTAAAAACAAACCAATTTTCATTTCTACACAGAAATATTAACCTCCTATCAGTAGTGATAGATATTTTGTACATTTTCAAAACAAAAAAACAAAACCAAAAAAAAAAAACCAAAAAAAAAAAAACCACTATTTTTTTAAACCAAAAACAAAATTAAGATCTTCATCAAGTCGTCTGCATCCATATATTTAACAAAGGTTTTTTTCCCCCACACAATGAAGCAAATACTGTATTGTCCACTTCTTATTATTGGCCCTGTGCAGAAGAGATACATAAGAAATACACAAAAAGTTAAAGAAAATCCTTTAAATGGAGCTAACTCAGGAGTGAATCCTTTAAGAAAGAAAAACTGGTTAATATAAATGGTGGTGGCTTCTTGCATGATTTTCAAATCCCTGGGGGAAGAAAATTTATTTTTAAAATCAAAGGCATTATAGAAATATTCAGCACTCAGATGCCAGAAAGCATTATAAAAAACAAACCAAAAAACCCAAATAATACACCACAGTAACTTCATTTAGACGATTACACTTTGCCAGGTAAAAATTAAAAAGGCAAAACATACTCCCAAACAGACAAACAGCAAACATGCAGAAAACAGACCAAAACATTAACAAATCTATTATACCTGAGGTGCTGGAGGATGCTGTGGCATTCCCTGTGGACTTGTCTGGGCATAGTAGGCTGCTTGCTGTCTATAGTACTCAGCCCAGGCTGCACTATAATCTGGCTGACCACCTGGTGGAGCCCCAGTAGGAGCAGGAACTGCTTGACCTTAGAGAAAACAGAACAACTTTGTTGCTGTAACCACAATTAATAGCCCAAAAGAATCTCATTTCTAATAAAAACAATACCTTGCTTCTTGTAATATTCCTCCCAAGCCTTTGAATAATCTTGTGTCTGCCCTTGTTGACCTAAAAAAAACCCCCTAAATTTTAATACAAAATTATATCCACTGTAAGAACAGGTTACAAAGACAAAAGCATAGAGGGTCAGAATGTTCCTGGTTTTATTTTACATATTCATTAGTATCAGAAAACTACCCTGTAATTTAAAAAACAAAACAAAAACATTCTTCATGTCCTTTTTGTCTTTTAATAACCATAACTTTTATTTGTAGAGCATCACTATGAGTAATAAATGAAACAAAACACAACCCATAGCTTTAACTAAAAAAGGTTAAGTATTTAGGCAATGTCTTGATTCAATTCCAGAATTTATAAACCATTAATGTGCTAAATGTGTTTGGAAAATGCTTTAAGTCAGTCAGTCTATAAACCTTCAGATGGTTCCCTGGTGGTGATGATAAGCAGACAGTAAGGAGGGGGGAAAAACACACTATATTCTTTTTGGCCTCTTATCCAATTGGATCTGTTTCATTACAGGCTTTAAAATGCCTTAATGGAGAAATAGAGAAGAAGTTATTTCTGAGAACCAAACAAAAAAATTTAAAGGCTATCAACTTAAGAAGATCTGACCAAAATTGTTGTTACCTGTTTATTAGCAACTATTTGTATAGAGAAACAGCAAGATCCGTTTTAAATAAGATGTTTAAAAACTTAGTACAACACAATTTTATTAAAATAACAAAGACACAGAGAACAATTAATGAAGAGGTTCTAAGCAATAAGACTGATGAAACACATAAAATCCAACAACTTTCATGAGCAGGTCTTTTTCTAGCCATAAAGACTTTTCTGAAATAAGAGACTAAAGATGGAACAACCATATGCAATACATGAACCTTGAATAGGTTCTGAACAAAACAAATATACAAAAATACTAAAGGACATTTTGGTGATAACCAAGAAAATTTAAATACATAGACTGTTTCTTGATATTATTATGGTGAATCTGGGTAAAAGGTATAAATACAGGTGTTCACTTATTTTTCTCAATTTTTTAAAGGTATAAAACAATTTGAAAAATATTGGGGAGAAAAGACCGTGTTTTCCATTCAGTTCCTTTATTTGAATAGTGTTTTATTTAGTTTGCAATTCACCTGGCTCTATGAAATAATACAGCTAGAAAAAAATACTACATCAGACATACAGAAAGCTTCTTGTATGTTTATCAGATATTGCCAACAAAACAATCTTATAAATTCAGAAAGTAGTCTATTATCATCACATAAATTGTCAAAAAAATAAGAGCATCTGAATGAATAAAAATTTAAGATTTATGATTATTAATTTTAAAAATGTATGAAAACCCCTTTCTTCTTTAGGCAACAGTACAGAGAAAGCCCTTACACTATATATATATAAAAATTATTTTATTTTTCATAAACTTTTCAAAGAGACAAGTGAGTTTAACATATTGATCTTATGAGAAGATAAAATTTAAGCAAACCTAGAACAAGTTTAAATAGTTATAAAATTGTTAAATAGCAGTAAAATCATACAACATCTCTTACAGAACTGAAAACCTGCTTACTTGAGGCTCAAACCTGATGTGGTTAAGGTAGTAACAATTTTCACTTCAAGCTTAAGGGAAGTAACCTCATTATAAGAAGCACTTCACTTTAGAGGCAAAACAATAGGAGATGGTAGGAACAGGGAGACACATCAAGCAAATACATCACTCAAATGTTTCTTAAAAAACCTCAAACTCAAATAACACTGTGCAAAGCTAAAAGCAAACAGATTAGAATCTAAGAAAGTCAAACACTTGGTAAGTAAGCTGTTAACATCTGACATATCCATCTTGAAGGTACTCAAAAGAAAAATACATTCCATCCTTCCAAAGTGAGAGGCAAACATGATCTATTCAGCCCAGCTGAAAGTAGCAAAACAACCCTTTCTATCAATCTATTTCTTCTCCTTCTCAGTTCAAAAAGTTTTGATGTAAAACAATTTACACTTTAGTAGTAGAACATTACCTAATATAGGTTTACAATATATAAAGTTTTACTGAGATTTCCTTTCATTCAAGATAGAAGACTTGTCCTAGAGTATGCTTGTAATATTTTATTACCTTCCAAGAGCCAGCCTTGCTTCAACAGATTGTCAGTTTACCGCTCTGTAAGTATCTGCATCTTTCCCCACAACTTCTCACTCTCCCTTCCTTCAGGCCTAACATGTAAAATGCTATAGATTAAGAGTCCACTATTATCAGTGCTTAACATTTTAAGGGTCTTCCTCAAGTTAAACTTCGTCTAAGTGTCTACACTGTTGTTGTTATGTGCCGTCGAGTTGGCCCCAACTCACAGCGACCCCTCCTTGGGTTTCTGAGGTGGTATCACTACTGAAGTAGATTGCCTAACCTTTCTTCCGAAGAGTGGCTGGTGGGTTTGAACCACTAGCTTTCCGGTTAGCAGTCAAATGCCTTAGGCACTATGCTACCAGAGCTCCTAGTGTAGACACTATTCCCCCTCAAAATAATCTCTCTTCTTTGCAACTCTTTTTGTTGTCTTTTCCCTATTACAAAATGTCCCTTCATTCTAGCTTTAAAAGTACTCTCCACCAGATTGCTTCCCTTCTTTATATGACTTAATTAGGCTTCATAAGCTGTGGCAGGCTGTCCAGTTTGGGGAAGAGGACACCGAATTGGGAATTAGTAAGACTCTTCCTGACACTGAAGGATCAAACCACAGAATCTTCAAAAAAGAAAGTTAGAATTGGAAATTAAGATCTCTATTTTCCTGATATTTTATAACCCGTTTCCTTATATTTAAGAAACTTGAAAATCAAACCATCTCAGTTTTATGCTTCAAGTTCCCTTAGCTGTAATTATCTTAAAAAGATCTTGAGGATAAGTTATGTATCTAGAAGAAATTAGAGCAGTTAAGCAACTAATCTTTCACAAAAAAATTTGCATAGGAAAAAATAAATTAGCCTTCTCATATCACGAGAAACACTTTTAAGAGTCGACCAAAACATTGTTGTCAACTTGACCCAACTAATGGTGACCCCATTTGTGTCAGAGGGTCCATTGTTTGATCTATGAATAGATAGATCATATTCATTTTTTTTGAAATAGATTGCCAGGTCTTTCTTCTGAGGTCCCTGTGAGTAGATTCAAACCTCCAACCTTTTGGTTAGCAGCCAAGCACATTAACAATTCGAATCACCCAGGGACTAAATTATCTAACATTATTTCCTTTAAGATTTACATGAGACGGAATCATCAAACTGTTCTACTTTGCTCCTAAAATTAACACTTGATCATTATAGTGCTACAGAAATATACAACAGAAAAGAGGTTAGCCTGGGACCAGAAGGGAGAACATAAGAGTTATTTTTATGCTCCTTTTCCCCACAGAGGATTCAATGGTCCAGTATGTTAATAAAAATAAGAATTTTAGAGAGTAGTAAGCAGGAAATACCAGAAAATAAAAAAATTAAAGGCGAGGTCAACGATGTACTCTTAATAGTAAATAGAATGGTTTAAGACCATAGATTGATTATATTTGATACATCCCCTCCTTTTGGAAAAGTAAAAATTAAAAAGGCTAAATAGACAGTAAATTTATTAATGGCCACAGTGCAAAGATATAATAAAGTATAAAAGTCAAATTCACTCCCCAGTAATTACTTAAGTCTGTTAACAGGCCTTTGTTCTCACTCATTTTTAATAATAATTCAGGGACATCTCTGGCATGTTACCTATTGTAGTAACACAACTTTGGGCTAATGCCGTTTAACTTCAACATGTTCAACTCTTTAAACCAGTGACATTACTTCATTAAAGTTAAAGGTGACCAGAGGTTCTAACCATTAAGTTGTCATGGCATAATTACTGAAAACATCTTCATTCAGTCTCAAAAGTATATTAGTTTGGACAGTAAATTATGCAGTCACTGACCAAATTTAGGAGACAGGTTTAGGACTCAAACTCTTTTAAAGTTCAAATTCTAATTCTACCACTTTGTAGTTGTGTAACCTTTATTTCTAGTCTCCACACGTGAAATGTCAGTGACAGTACAGTATTTTTCCTCCACAGCACTTTTCAAATAGCTTACAAATTACTTGGCTAACAACTGTACCCTCCATTAGAAAAGAACAGCCAGTAGGGCAGGGGTAATAGTAGATACCCCCACAAACTAACTGCATTCTTAGCACCTATCACCATGCTTTACATGTAGTATGTTGTTGTTGTTGTTATGTGCCGTTGAGTTGGCCCCAACTGATAGCAACCCTCCTTGGGTTTCCGAGGCAGTATCACTATGGAAGTGGATTTCCCAACCTTCCGAGGAGTGGCTGGTGGGTTTGAACCAGCAGCCTTCTGGTTAGCAGTCAAATGTCTTAAGCACTACACTACCAGAGCTCCTACATGTAGTATAAGCTCTATAAAAACCAAACCCACTGCCACTGTCGATTTTGATTAATAGCAATACCCACTGGGTTTCCAAGGCTGTATATCTTTACAGAAGTAGATTGCTTCATCTTTCTCACACAGAGCAGCTGATGGTTTGGAACCTTCTGGTTTGAAACTCTTACCCACTCTGCCACCAGAGCTCCTTATGGTCTATAGTTATTGAATTAAAAATGGCCTTCCCAAATGCTTTTTTCATATATGGAAACGCCGCTTAAGACATTTACTTCCTGTCCCTGTACATCACTTCTTTACCTGCTTATTCTGCAGCAAAAATAATGGTATCACACACCACTCATTTTTGCTCAGTGCTCTAGAATTTAACCTTATTAGTTTATTAACATATTAGCCATCTTTGACAAAAGTCTAGGTAATATTCAAATGCCATGCATCAGTGGGATAATTTCTAGGTTCAACTGTAACCAGCTGACACATACAATTAGAAATATGATTTCCTTGGTAGGTAATCACAAATTTAATTCTTTTTATCAGCACATACTATATATAATAACCTGGGTATCTATGAAAGTCCAGTGATTTTACAATGTATTCTTTCTCAATTATTTTCCACATTAAGATTCTTAAAGTTAATAAATGAATAAAAGATGTCAAAGTTAATAAAAACATAGTGCCAAACATGTTTTCATACAATCTTCAACCATCTATTGTGGTAGTTACTAAATGTTTAAATTTAATTAGGTGTACAAAAAAAAAGTAGAACATACCCATTTTCTTGTAGTATTCTTCCCAAGCCTTGGTATAATCAACCTGTCCAGCTGGTGCTGGATTTTGCTGATCTCCTTGTTCAAGGGGGGAGGGAAAAAACAAAATTAAAGTTTTTAAAGGTAATTTTGCTCCCTTCCTTCTGTTCCTGGAGTAAAGGAGTTGGTAGTGGTATGCCATAGTACAGTAAGGGTGGGAGGGGGTGCTGTTTGGTACAGTGTGACCTGCTGGTGTCACAGACAGGTTGCCAGAGGCAGAGAGCTAGCAGACAGAAAAGATGGTAAACGTGTTTGGAAGACTAGCTGCACTGGGCATATAAATAAACTGCTTGGGCAAATAAAGAAATATAATGATACCAGGGTTGTGAATTACCATTCACAAACATACAAAAAGAAAAGGCTAGAAAGAATCTTCAAGTGTAAGAATGAAATTATAGGCACTGATAGGAACATATGGTTTTAACATACACATACATATTCAGATATAGAAAGTTACAGATGTTTATGTGTATTTTAGGTATCTAAGGCACTTGACTGCTAACCAGAAGGCTGGCGGTTCAAACCCACCGGACACCTCAGAAGGAAGATGGGGCAATCTACTTCCGTAGTGATACTGCCTCGGAAACCCAAGGAGGGGTCGCTATGAGTCAGGTCCGACACGACAGCAAACAACAACAACAACAACAACAACAACATGCATTTATGTACATGTATTTCCTAGCTCTGCCCACTAAAAGCAGCTACAAGCAATTGCACCTTAGGAACAATGAAAGCACCACGAGTTCTGTTTCTAAATATTCTCCTCTATTTAAAGAAATCTAGGATCTTTGGAAAAACTGCTGATTCTAGGGGTTGTAGCCCAGAAAGTAGAAATAAGACTAAAACATCTTATCGTAACAAAAAGTTAGGAAGTGCTTAAAGGATTATGGAATATGTCAAAAGAAGTCACTTTGAAGGTACACCTGAATAGACTACTTTAGTAAATTAAATTCAATCAACAAAATAATTAGAAAATATAACCTGAACAAAAACTAATCCATGCTGATATAAACAGAAAAGGAAAACTCTTCAAGTAAAATGTCAAGTAATAAATGCAGAATGAATGCTAGAAACAGAAAATTGATATCACGGTTGTGGCTGAATCAGGCAGGCATTACCAACAGAGGCTAAGGCTGACAGAACAGTGGCATAACTCAGTATTATGAGCTTCCATAGGGAATACTAATCAATTTCACAGAGAAAAATCATAATTTTATGGTATAGAAACCCAGGCACCAACATGACAGGTGATCAAGTTTTCCACTTCAAGGGTAGAAGTAGTCAATGTCATATGACCACAGAATCATTTCTAAGGTAATTCTGCCAAGTAACCATGATGCATTTATTAAGGGATCTGGGTTTATAGTTATCCTACAGGATGAAAGGCCTGTATTCTTTGTAACATGTAAGAGAGGGGAAAACTGAAGAACTATCCCAGATTGGTGAGACTGAAAAGACCTGACAACATTTGTTTTTAGTTGGGATCCTGGATCAGAAGAGAAATTATTGAGACAACTGGTGGCATCTGAAAGGGGGCCTGTGAACCGGGAGCAGTCATGACTTATCAATGTTGATTAGTGGATTTGGAGTATTGAATGGTAACAGGACATCATGTCTAATGACTGAAGATGTGATAGTATGATGGAACAAATGGAGATAAAACATTAACTCCTGGGGTATCTTGGAGCTTTATACTGTTCTTACAAGTTTTATTGTATTTAAAATTATTTCAAGCAACTTTATGAAAGAAAATTCTGCTTAATAAAGTTACCAAAGAACAATGTTAGAAATTTTAGATACCATGCAGTGATGCATTACACATGTAATTCCAAACACAATGTTGATTTTCACATATAAAATTCTTTCTTTCTTTACCACACTTACCTTGTCCATTAGTTTGCGTTGTAGCTGGTGCACCTGTGGGAGCTGCAGGTGGTGGCTGTGCTTGCTGCTGATAATAGTGAGCATAATAAGCTGCCCAAGCTGCTGAATTTGGATCTGTTCCTGCTTTAGCTAGAATACAAGATCAAAGTTTGCACCTGAAGTCCATAATCTCTCACACTCAGACTTAAAGAACCAAAAATGAACAGTATATATAATATTAAAAGAATAAATGAAACTCATTCTTTTATTATTTTCATTTTCACCATTACCTTTAATTACAGAAACCCAAAGTAAGAGATTAAGTGACTTTCCTAGATTATACAACTGATGAGTAGCAGAGGTGGGATCTGAATAAAAATCTTTTGGCTCCCAATCTTATGTTTGTATCAAACCATTCTGTGCCTTTTGTTTCTAAACTGCTTTTGTCATAAGCACAACAGTTCCATGTGGCAGATGACTAAAGGAAAAGATTACTATGGATTGACCAGTACCAGGAAGAAATAATTATTCTAGAATTATAAACTTTATTTACCCTAACTGGTTTACAAGAATGAACAACCCATAAATCTTGGAAAAACAAAGAGATCAACTATACTTCATTACAGTGATTGTCCTAAACATAAACTTGATGTCACTGCCCTACTTGAAATTCTTCTTTATTCTCTAGACTCTAAAGGGTGGTGGTCAAAGCTTTTAAGTACAGCATATCATTCGACATCCTATAAACTTGAACCCCCTAGCTTATCTTTTACATTCCAATTCCAGCCTCATCTCTTTTGTCACTATATTTACTCTTAAGCTCTGGCTACATAGCTTGTACTTTTCAGAAGTCATCACATCCTTTCTTGTCTGTTTGGGCCTCTGGCCATGCTATGCTTCCTATGAACTTGGCTAGCCCTCACAAGCCAAGTGATGAGTGAAAACTATGTGATCTCTCAGGAATCAGAAATCTCTATTTTGCCCTTTATATTGCTGCTGTTGTTGTTGTTAGGTGCTGTCGAGTCGGACCTGTCTCATAGGGACTCCTCCTTGGGTTTCCGAAGCAGTATCACTACAGAAGTAGATTGCCCTATCTTCCTTCCGAGGAGTGGCTGGTGGGTTTAAACCGCCAGCCTTCTGGTTAGCAGTCAAGTGCTTTAGGCACTACGCTACCAGAGCTCCCTTTCTATTAGGACTATCAAGATCTATCCCCAGGAAAATGTAATTTCCTTAGTCAGAGCCTATATCTATATGTGATCTGTGTAGCCTTCATACCAAATGGGAGCAATTTTTAGCTACTTAATAAATGTTAGTGAAATTTAAGTAAAAAGGATTCCTAGAGGGAAAAAAATTAAAACATAGTGTTAAGCCACCCTTTAGACCTTTTGTTAAGAAACTGATCACTGTTGGATATTTACAAATCCTAATAGTGTCATGATCTGTATCTTAATTAATCAATATAAATATTTCACTAACATGTCGTCTGGAGAGAGAAACAGATTACACAACAGTTTAGGAAGGAATACTTTTATTCCTGATGTATGAAAACCATACAATAGTTCCATTTACCATTATATAATAAGAAAATAGGCTTAGAGGGATTAACAAATTTGCTTGACATCCTTTAATTAGTATACCGTAAGACTAGGATTTCTCCAGGTCTGCCTGCCTATGAAGTCTAAGCTCAATAGAAAACTGAGGCTCAGAGACTAAGTGACTTCCCTAGGTTATACAACTAGTCAGCGGAAGAGCTGGGTATTTGGAGAAAAGTATTTTGGCTCCAAATCTAAAAGCCCATTAATTTTCATTTTATCAACAGATTTTTTTGGTCCCCAGAACACTAACAACTAAGCAATAATCTAAATAAAAGCTTGGCAACCCTTTCATAAATCTGGGCAGGGCCAACAAATTCTCTTCTAAAGGCAGTTGTAGAAGCCATATTCATCAACCAATTCTTACAGAAGTGACTTTACTACTACCCCATGTGGGATGCCAAGACTGATAGAGACCACTCCTTATCTTTATCATGCTACCTATCCAAAGAGTGCTCATAGGTACAATACAAAATTTACAGAGCAGATTTCACTTTCCATATAAAAGTTCTTATATAGGAAGTCAAATCTGCTCTGTAAATTTTCACCCAAATCATAATTGAAAAACAAAAACAACAAAAAAATAACTTTTAGACTACTGTTTACAGTAAGTCATATTTGATTCTTCTTTTTTTATACCGAGTTCTTATACTGCATTACTACTAACACGGGGATTGCATTCTTCTCCTATGATCATAAATTAATTTTTTTTGCATATTCAGCTCCTTGTACAACTTAAGGTAATTTGTTCAATGAGCAAAAGGTGTGTTTATCTGGTGATTGTCATGGTGTGTTGTAATATTCCAAAAGGCATACTTCCTATGAAAGTAAATCAAATTCAGTGAAATAATTCATTTAAATAAATTACTGCTTTTTTTTTTTTTTTTGGGTTAAGTTTACTACATGTGTTGAAAGGCATCCACTGAATTATACTGAACTGTGTACCTTCCTTGACACTACTTCAGTGAAAGAGACCTAAAAGGTAGGAAGGAGTTGCTATTAACTATTGTTAATGACTGTCATTTGGCCCAATTCATGGCAATCCCCCACACAATGAGATCAGATTGTTGTGATCCATTAGCTTTTTCAATGGTTGTTTTTCAGAATTACATCACCAGGCCTTTCTTCCTAGACTGTCTTAGTCAGAAAACTCTGATGAAACCTGCTCAGCATCACAGCAAGCCTCCACCGAAAATCAAGTGCTGGCTGTGCTTGAGGTACACTGGGTAGGAACTGAACCCAGGCCATCCATACAGAAGGTGAGAATTCTACTACTGAACCACCACTGACATCCAGGTAGGTGAGATAAAAATGAAACCAGACTTCAAATGAATTGGTTTTAAAGAAAACTCTTTGACTAAGACAGGAAGATAACTATAGTATGAGAAAGATGCCAAGAGAAGAATAGCATGCAATATATATGAAACTCAGATGTGACTATAAAAAATATTTATTCAACACCACACATTTTAGAGTTCTAATATGAATTAAAAACAGGTATGTTAGGATACAGGCCTACATTTTAATATGTGAAGTTACCTTACCAGGAGTCCTAGAACAGACTGCTTTGTATCTTATTTGAGAATGTGGGAGTTTAATACCCAAATATCTAACACTCCATTAGAATCTCATATAACTTTATAATAAATGCACACTAACCACTGAGTCACAGATTATGTCACAATTAACAAACTATGCATTTTATAGCACTAGTATCTAAAACCTAAAAAATTATAACTTTTCCTGTAGCTTTTAGCTCTTAGCACTCTTCGGTACCATTTTTAAAATGCCAAATAAAGATAGAAAAAATTCTATGAAAGCAGAAACTACATTTATGTCACTTTTATTCACCAGTGTCTATACTTAGCAGAAAGAGTAATGAGTGCAGATAATGCACACAATGTAGAATCAAAACTAGAAAATTTAAGAATGTTACAGGAGTTACAATAATACAGTATTATCCATGAATGGAATGTGTCATTTACCTGGATCAGGAGGGGCCTGTTGCTGCCAATGTGGATAGGCATTGCCCCATCCCTGGGGAGCATACGGAGCTGGAGGACCACTGAAAAGATAAAAGGAGTAAAAAAATATACCAAAAGCTAGACTCTGGGGGAAAAGCCCAGAACCAAACCCAATACTTACTGAGGAGCAGGGCCAGGTGGTCCTGGATTATAAGGTGCAGGATTGTATGGCCCCATTGGTGTTCCAGGCCCTGGAGGACCAGGAGGCCCATGGGGGCCTGGGACACCATGTGGCCCATGGGGTACAGGTGGCCCTAAAGGATTGACTGGGCCCTGAAAAAAGGCAGAAAAACATACCAAAATCAGAAAAACAGAGTAATGATTAAACCCGATGGCCCAATGATCTTCCATTTCTATCCTCCTACATATATATACCCACTCCTCACTTGGTTAGGTTTCAAAGACCATGTTGTTATGCAAAACTTGGCATTATGTGAAAATGGAACATCATATCACAAAATGGAAGATACATAACCGCCAAATTATATTATTCCCAAACCACTGAGATTCAAGGCCCAGCCAAGTTGATACATAACCTTAACCATCACAGTCAGTGTTATTCTTCCCTCACACCTTGGCATTTGTTACTGCCAGATGTACATCATTAATGCACAAATAGTCAGATAGATTCTACCACTGTTGTAAATGTGATTGTCAGATGAGATAGCCTGATAGTGAGAAGCAGGTAGTCACGAGCAATTAAGTTTTAGATTTTAATTTCTCTCCTCATTTCTGTTACAACTAACACTGCTGTATTAATGAGAAGTGTAAAATTCATTAAAACCAATAGCGTTAGCAAAGAAATGAAATGTTTTCTTTAAAAGCTCTATTCTATACTCCTCAGACAACATTATTTCTCTTTTCTTTTATAATTCTTATTTTTATTATCCACCATCTAAATCATGGGAACCTATCACACATCAAATCTGTATCAGCACTGTCATCTCTGCTTCTACTATCCTAACATTAATGAGATAACCATTTGATAATATATTCCCCAAACTGTTTACAGGTTCTAACTAACTAATGAACACTTCACCTAAACTTTAACTAGATCTTTATCAAACTAATGTCCTCTTCACAAGTTCTACTTCATCACCAGAACCCTGTTAAAACCAAGAACTTAAAATTTCTTCCTTTGCCTTTCATTGTTCATACTTTTCTAAGTACCATAAAAATTCTTTTCACTATGCATTCAACAAATAAGGATATTTTATATCCTTACCATGTCATAATAATGTTTAGCTGATTTCTTTTTTGATAATCCGACTGGCAAAGACCATCAGATTGAATGTTCTAAAACAACACGTTTCATGCAGTTAATATCGATCATGTGGCATTTTGAAAAAATGCTAAAACCACAGTTGGTTGTCAATTTCCTCAGTACAAAATAAGAAGGCTAATAAATACCATGACTTGTAAACTCACTTTTATTAACTTATGCCTTTAGCTCTCTAATTGCTCACATTATCCCTTGCTTTTATTACCCATGACCCATTCTTTTACTGTTTGAAAAAAGTAATACTGAAAAAGTAGCCACATTTTATATGGCTATCCATTCTTTGAAGTGATTCACACATGCACACACAAAAGCACGTACATGCACACACATGTGCACACTCACTCTTTCATTCCCCACAACTCAGTAGATACCACTATCCTAATTTTACTAAGAAGGAAATAAAGCACATACAACCAGAAAACAGCTGACAGAAATAAACCCAGGCAGTCTGACTCCAGAGTTCATGCTATTAACCACAATAGTTATTCTTAAAAGCAAAAACAAATACAAAAAACAACTTTATTTCCCCATTAACCCAACAGAAATCCTAATCTTTTGCACATTAAGCTAATAATATCCAAAACCAAGATGTGCCATTCATTATTCTGCTTTGGCATCAACCTCTGCAATTACTGAATCTGTATTTTCTTCCTTTTGTTAATGATTATACTTAATGTCTGGATCATAGAACTTTAAAAATCCATTAGTAATAATTTAAGATGATCTCTTACACTTTAACTCTTCATTGTAAATTAACTCAATAAAGTACTATTTGCCTCATTTATGAAAAGGTATGATTAAGACTGCTCATACATTTTTGTAATTTCAAGAGGAAAAATTTACAAATTTGGCTGTGCACCAGAATCACCTGGAACAGCTTTCCAAAATTAGTTGCTGGGACCTAGTCTGAGATCCTGAATCAGAATTGGTCTTTGTGTTACATGCAGTAGAGGGGTGTGTGGAAGGATGGGAAGCACTCAAGTAACCTGCATTTTAAAACTCCCCAGATGATTATGAGCTAGTGTAAGATGATTTGCAAATTTACACTCGAGAGTGAAGGATGCCTCTGATTTGCCTTTACCACATGTTGCTGTTGTTGTTATGTGCTGTCGAGTCAGAACCGACTCACAGCGACCCCTCCTTGGATTGCTGAAGCAGTATCACTACGGAAGTAGATTGCCCAACCTTCCTCTGCGGAGTGGCTGATGGGTTTGAATCACCAGCCTTCTGGTTAGCAGTCAAGTGCCTTAAGCACTATGCTACCAGAGCTCCTTCTTTACCACATGTTGTTGTTGTTGCTGTTATGTGCCGTCGAGTCGGCCCCGACTCATAGTGACCCCTACTTGGGTTTCCGAGGCAGTATCACTACGGAAGTAGGATTGCCCAACCTTCCTTCCGAGGAGTGGCTGGTGGGTTTGAACCGCCAGCCGTCTGGTTAGCAGGCAAGTGTCTTAGCCACTATGCTACCAGAGCTCCATAGTAAGCCCTTAATAAATACTAAATTCTCTTTAACCATTTCCTTCAACTATGTCCTCCACCAATCCTAATGTCTTGTTTTGCAGGTAATACCACCCTCTTATCTATTCAAACCAATACAATCCTCACTATAAACCAAATGTAAGATTTTGAATACCTGTAACTGCCTTTTTAAAAGCATACTCACACCAATCTTTTCTTCTATGAGTTGCCGAGCGTAGTCTATTTGCTGTGGGGTACCACGAATTGTAAATAACTTCATATTAGGATCTGCATTTGGTGGAGGATTTCTCTGAAGTTCTATTCTTGCACCAGACTGTTGGCTTATGCTTTTTATAGTTTCACCTCCTAAAATAAAAAGAGAGTAATTTCTCTACAGATTCAAAAGATATGAGAAGTTATTAAAAAGATGACATTCACAGCTAAACAAGCCATTAAAAGAAAAAAAAGGTTTTGGCCAGTATCCTATCTGATAAAAACTCTGTTAAGATTATCCATTTACTGTAAACTTTAAAATAAATTAATGATTCATTTCATGCTCCCCTTGAAACCTCAACTTTTAAATGGATAACTTACTGAAATAAGCAACACAAATGAAAACTAAGGAACGGTGTTAAAATTTTAACCACACATTAAAATGTTGAGTTTAAAATACATTGCCTTTTCCTATTATCAATCCAGTTTTCCCAGTTGGTACAATGAAATTAAATTCCTGTAGTCCACCAGGTGGTCCCATGTTCCAGTTGCCTTGACCTCGCCCTCTTCCTCGACCACCAGGTCCAGGTCCACCAGGATTACCAGCCTAAGGAGGGAAAGACAGGAAGAAGAAAATTCAGCAAAGAAATAAATCCTTCTTTGCATGATGAAATTATCACATGCCCATTTTTCCAATTTTCATATACTTAAACCTGAAAATTAGGTAAGTTCAGATATGATTCACTCTTTTTATACTGGGGTGAGTATAGCAAGGCACTTTAATAGTCTTCTTCCTGCTCCAAGGTATCTATCTTAAAGCAATTTAAACTTTCTAGCCTTATTAATAAAGCATGATCAACCAGACTCTGAGATAAAAATGTAAGGGGAAACTTTCCGATTTGATGAACAAACAAAAACAAAACAACAAAAACGTTAATGTTCTATCAAACCTGAACACTTCGAAGGAGGTCCGTAATAATTTCTGCAGCATGTTGACATCGGTCTGGAGGTCCTGTTATTTGTGCTATTCTATCAGGTGTTGTT